TATTCAGCAAAAGCTTTCATGGACTCCCACCCACTTTGCAAATCAGTGAATAGTGTGGTGTGTTATATTGAAGTACATCAGCTCTAAAATTTGCAGCTATCAAATAAACAACCTATAATCTGAGAAGTTAAAAATTACTGAATATTTAAAATAAAGATAAGAAGCTAGATCAAATGTTACAGCAGACTACAGGAAATAAATAGGTGTTAAGATAGTTTTGACTAATAAATACTATTCATTTCCATTTCCATTAGTTCCAGGGAGAACTAATTTTGGATGTAATCTAAACTGCTAAATTATTCTTTTAAAATAAAAGTTCCTTCAATTCAAATTCTATTTAAATCAAATATTAAAATAGTATTGTTAAAAAAAGTGAACATATGTTAAAACAAATGAAATGTTGATTTGTATTACATGATATAATTTAAAAAACAAAACAAAACCACAATCCCTTACAATAAGCATAGTCCCCTCCTTGGCTACCCCTAAATTTATTCATAACAGGCAGATGATAAGATAAGTGTGTGGTTGACAAAAGGCAAGGAGGACAGGGTTCTTATCCCTTAAATAACATTTAGAACTGTATCACTATCTTATAAGTCATACCTGTCAAAAGAATCTGTAGCTACTTTGTAGAAGTAAATAAAGAGTTTGCCGCAATGCCTTAAAGTGGGTGAGACAGAATCCATGGAGATGAGGTCATCTTCCAACAGTCTTTGAAATGGTTGGGTATTTGAGGGAAAGATGTTCAAAGGGCTTATCTTCCTGGAGTCAGAGAAGCAGCCAAGTAACCTCACAGCATCAGCCAGCTTTTCATACTGGATCTCTGTTCTGAAAAAGTGTGAGTTGGCTGGTTCATAACGCATTGCTGCAGTCAAGGTGCATAGCACAGTGTGGACCAGCTCAAACACTTGGTTTTGATTTATTTTCTCCCAGCCATTCTTTGGTGGAGAACACAAGGATCTTTCCATGGCAACGAGTAATGATGTGACATACACAAATCCACCAACTTTTCTGAACACCGTTCTTGTGCGATGACTCTCTTTCAGTACAGACAGTAGGGCCTACAAGAATATTTAAACAAGTCAAAACAAAGAAAACCACATAGACTATTTTAAACATTGCTATGCCAACAATATTAGCCATAGAAAAGTAACAGTGCCATTCTAGTGTGCTTTGGTCAGAGATCACCTGAAAGACTATGTCCAATTCTGGGTATCACAGTTCAAGAAAAATATTAACTGCCTCTAAACATTTTACCAAGATGTTTAAAGGTCTGGAAACTAGTTTTAGGTGGAACAGCTTTAGGGAGCTGGGTATCAGAGAAGAGAAGATGGAAAGATAGTATGAACATTAAAAAAATATTTGAAGAGATGTCATGTAGAAGATGGAGTGAGCTTGCTTTCTCTTGTTCCAGCGATAAAGACACAAATCAAAGTGAATTCCAATTAGTAGAAAAACATTACACCTAAATCTTGGGAAGAACATCCTGACACTAAGAACTGTTTGACAGTAGAATAGACTGTCTCAGTGGTGGATTCTCCTTCTTTGGAGGTCTTTGAAAAGGCATTGTACAGCTATCTCTCAAGAGTGCTTTAGTTATTCTTGCATGGCAAAGTTTAAAAAGATTGCCCCTGCAATTCCTTTCAATTCTATGATTCTATGAATATCTTCTAAGCTTTCTTTGAAGCATCTTGATACAGAACATAGAACACGACAAAGCATATGATTACAAGTCAGCCTTCCTGCATAAATGCATTTGGGTAACAACGTACATTGATTATTTTCAAGATAAAAACAACAATAAATAGTAAATGTCTGACACATACACAACTCTACTATGTTTAAAGAAACTATTAAGGATCAAGTGTATAGAATACATTCATCACACAAAAACCCCTTCATAAGTATAAAATTCCAGAAATGTTCTCACTAACAGAGTTACAACATATGCACAGTCCCATGAGCAAAATCTTGCTGATTCTCCTACAAGATGTATTCTTGTGTACTTGATAAAATTCTGTTTGATTTCCATTCATTTATTTTAACCTTTTGTAATCTGTCCTGCATCCCACACTGAGAGAAAGTCAAAATATAAATTAAATTGAATAAATATGGAATAAAACCAATATAAACTGTCAAGTTAACCAGCCTTTAATTTCCTGGATTTCTTTTTTAAAAATTAGCATTTCCAGTATTCTCGTCCAAAGGCAAGAATTAATGACACATTTCTGTTAGAAAACTTTTGTTAATCTCCATCAAATACATAGGGCTGAGCAATACTCCACACAGTGTTCTGGAACCTATCATTACCCAGAGCATTTTAAGTCTGACAAATCTCAGTACCAAGTCTAAGAGCACTTCCACTTGACCAGGTGGAAGAATTTATATCAAGTTGTAGGTCAGTCAACAAAATGTCTACTTTGTGCCTGATCTGCTCAATTCAAAATTAGTACTTGTTCCTTCCCACATATACAGACACACTACAAGTGTTGTATTAAACCACTGTTGCAAGAAACTTTGGGGGCTCAAATAAAAAAAACCAGCATACAATCTAATGAAAAAACAGAATTAAGAGATTTTCTCACTATGTAAAAGCCAATCAGGAAAAATATATATGATGTATGGGAATGATAATCATAAAAAAATTACACCACTTCATTTCTCCTTCACAATATTTAAGGTAAAGGTTTCCCTTGACACAAACATCTAGTTGTAACCAGCTATAGAGGGCAGTGCTCATCTCTGTTACTAAGCCGAGGAAGCCAGCATTGTCCAAAGATGACTCTGGTGGTCATGTGGCCAGCATGACTTCACAAAATACTGTTACCTTCCCACCAAAGTGGTACCTATTTATCTACTTGCATTTGCATGCTTTCAAACTGCTAGGTTACCAGAAACTGGGACTAGTGACAGGAGCTCACTCAATCATGAAACACTTGGGCTTCGAACTGGCAACCTTCCAACTGTCAGAATTGGTGTCTTAAGCAGTAAGACACTGCGTCCTAATCTCACAATATTTACTTTGTATCAATTTAGTTTTTACTAAAAAGTTAATTTTTTAAAAATAAAATATATAACAGCATTTTTTGAAATATAAATGCTATGGAACCAGAATTGACTGGAAGTCCTACTTCCAACTGCAGACCATTTTCACTGAATGTTAGCAAATGCATCCTACTCAGAAGATCACTTAGGCAACGAAAGTTGTCTACAGATTTTGGAAGCTTCATTAACTTGTGTATTTTTCAGAGATATTGCAAGAACTCAGCTTCTTGCCTTACTCTATGTTTATCATTCACATGATAAAGTAATAACATTAGTTCAGAATACATATACACACCCCATTCCAAATCAAGATATTTTACACATATAGAATTTTTAATCTGCTCTTCTCTCATCAAGTAGGAAACATGTGAACAACATGTGATTACTATGTCTGAAATAATTTCACAGTAATATTTGAGGAATTTCTTTTACATAGTTTATTTTAATATTTGTATTTCTTCTACATAAATGTTTTACTTGTTTATATTTTTAAATAAACAATATTTTTCAAACATCCATACATTCTTAGTTATTGAACTTACCCTTAGTATGTCTGTTTTCAGCTGCAATTCTGTAGGTGGAGCAGAATGCATTAGTCCTAAAAGAGTACCCATGTCATCATCACCACTTGGTGACAACACCAACTGCTGTATTATCATCAGTGCTTGCTGTCTGCATTGTGGATATTTTACAATGTTATGTACACATCTTGCTCCACCAAATTCCCTGAAGATACCTGCAAAGAAAACAAGTACAAAGGAATTACTATGGTACCAGCAGACTGTTTAGACACAGTATCAAATGGACCACATGGCACAAATATCTGCAATGGCTGCCAACTTAGAGATGTCAGTAAATATCTACTATAATCAGGCATCAGAATACATAAAAAGCAGAATGAAAAGAGACAGTGGTTATAACAAAGAGATGAAGCATCACCACATCTTGATGGAATAACCCAAGTCTTGGGGAGAGAACTGAATGAAGTAAAACCACATAAATGTCTTTGTACTTCATCTCAATAGGCCTGACCAATCCCCCTGCACAATAATTTCCTATGCCAATCACACATAATACAAGCACATGCCCTCCCTGACTAGAAGCAACATCTACCAGGTACATAATTAAGACTGTTAACAGTATTTTAAAAGAATGTGCTACTTGTATCATACAAAAAATGTTGGATTGAGGATGAAAGACTTTTATCAATCGTTGGAATTGCCTGAAATTTATGGGCACTGTGATTGTCTACATCAGCGGTTCTCAACCTGTGGGTCGCGACCCCACCGGGGG